ATGGTAATGTAGCACCATTCATAAATAGATAATACGCTATCAGTCTAAAAAGTAATCAGAAGATTGGACGCCCAACCTGATCACAGCCAAACATACGCTGAAAACACAGATGACTACTAAAATTAAATGACAAAAACGATCTTTGGTTTCCTTTGAACCAACTTTTGGTTTTAAATAAAACGTTTTTATGCGAAATGGTTTAAAACACCAAGACGTTTTTTCTACTATACTTCGTATAGTCAAAGACCAGTAAAAACTTTCTCAGCACCGCACACTTGTGACAGACACTGTCTAAACTAGTATTTTTCTGAAGGTTCTACAGAATAGTGTGGGAAATGAACTCTTTATCTCTTGAACTCTTTATTTGTAACTTACCTGTCTGGTACAATGCTTTTTGATTTTCTTCATAACCTAAAGTCCACTGGGTGATCGTTATGCTTCAGATAGGAACAGGTCATACTGTATATTAGTGTCATAAGTAAGACTCATTTTCTCCAAGACCTTGATCCAGCACATACACAAACTTCCTACAGTTTATTTACTTCTCGAATTATTTCCTTTGGATTTCTGCGAGTTTGTGTGTTTTTTACAGGGAAATAAATAACTTAAATCAACAGACCACGGAAGTTAAAAATAATTCACATTAAATATTTAGAAAATAATAATGACGCTTCTGAATAATACGAAAGCTAACTTGGCTTCTTAATTGCAACTGTATTACCTTAAATTTTATTTACCTTGTTTTGTTCTCTATCAAGATTCTAACTTACATTATCATATATTTCAGTATGATGTAATCATACAGTATATTGAAGTGCAGACTTGTCTTTGTTATAAGAAACATACTCAAGGCATGATGTTTCAAAAACAATTAAATTTCTCAATGTGTAAATACGGATCTAATTTTCAAATCTTAGAGAAGAGGATTTAAAACCTAATGTTAACAACCCTGCAGCTCAAACTGACCAAAAGATAGATAGTCGAACGTTTAAAAAAGTACTGGTAAAAACTTTACAACTATGGTCTCCGGTTGTCTTATGTGCAGCGCACTTTTTAAGTCGTTAGTTGGGGACGCCTTTTTATACAGTACGTGGTCTTTAACTATAAAAATATTTATTCTGACCTATTGCGCGTAGCTGTACGCCATTCACCCCAGGCGACAGTTAATAATATCATTAGATATAACGGAATATTGTAAATGTAAAAACATCAAATACATTGATGTGAACATGTCTAGGGAAAAAAAAACAGCAGTATACAGTACAGTAAAGCAGTAAAAAGCAGAAATAGTACAAGATACGATATGGTCAGCCATTGCTACTGTATATACTGTGCTGTGTATAATCATTACTTCACTATGTGTTCTCTTAAATGTTCTCATAACCTCTAATGCAATCATACCTGGGGAAATTGCATAAGAAATTATACCAATAATCACGGCACAACTTGTCAAATACATGAATGAATGAATCTGTCAACCAACACATCTGTTTACTACATGCAGGTTCAGGAGGTTATGAGATAGTATAGCAATTTCATTTACGAAGGCTGGTGATGCATTAGAAGCTACATCTTTCTGACTAACTTGTGTTATGTTTACGGTATCAACATCGCTACGATACCACGTGTTAGACAGCATTAGGTATTTCAGTTTGGGACAGAACAGTTGTGTGATTTAACACTGTCTAAGCCACCTGCAAAGCGCATTTCAGCACCGCGGACAGCGGACTCCAGAGCAGCGCCTTCAAAGAGGAGGGGGAGGAGTCCTGTTCACTTCTGCTTAGCCTTTCTCAAGCCTTTTCTTGAGTTTGTATTCTCACTGTTTCAATGCTCTTTCGGTTTTCACTTAACTAAGCATACTTTTACTCCTTTTATGAGTTTGGCTGTTGTCAAAATTGAGGGGTTTCGAAAGTTTATGATACAAGCCAAACAACCAAAGTTGTTTCGGACGAGATCTTGTCCGATTCTGTTCTGTACCGTAACGAAGTACAGTATTAACGAGACACAATAGGTTCTAAATTAAACTTGGTGTGTTAAAAATAGTTTAAATGTTTCTCTTTTTCTAAATAACATAATGAAAAACATTTTTGTAACATACAGCAGGTTCAGAAAATGAACACTCTAGAGAGGGAGAAGTTGAGGCCTTTCACAGGAAACCAGTTATTGCTAAAAACGTACTTAATCGACACTTAGAATGCAAGTTTCATAAACATAGTATTGTTTTAAAACTGCAGAAAATGTATAATAACACACATATTACACTACGTATGTTTTTATGCATATAAAAGACGGCTTCTCGTACAAGACGTCAGCAATAGTATGTAAATTTATTACGTAATTTTCCTTTCATACCGAGATACATGTATGATAAATGTATGTACAGTACTTCACTTTTTCTGATTAGGATACCTATTTGCATACACGCGTTTTGATAAAGAGCAATTAAGATATATATATACAAGTATATATAATGTATGAATGTATCTGTGTCAGGCGCTTATAGAAATTACGGATGTACAGCAGACAACAACATATTAACATTGGTGATAACTTAAGTTGCAGAAATTTTATCTGACAACACATTGAAGTTGAAGTGAAGTGAAGTTCGTAACATCTTTTATGGTAGGACCGTAGCTGGATCTAATTCAGAACATACAGTATATCCAGTTTTAGGTATTTATAGTTGTGAAAACTATTTTTGTAAAAAAAAAAACAGGACATACAGTAGCATAAAAAGTAAAATGAGACTTTAAAAGGAATCCCTTTTTTTAAGAAAGATTTAGAAAACTGCAGCAAACAATAATGGAGTCAATGGAAATTCAGTAAAAAAGTGTTCGTATTAAACGAAATGATTGAATTGATATAAGTTATTATTTAATATTAGTTATATATTAAATAGTTATATAACTAATATTAGTTTATATTAGTTTCCAGAATGAATAACTAGATTAAGGCCAATGTAAGTCTTAAATACATTTCAAGAATATCATCGTGTAAATCGTATGTTTAGCAATTGTGATCCAATGGTTTCATCATATTTTTACTGTATATTTTAGTTTC